AGTAACATACTGTGGTAAAATCCCTACAACATAATTACTGCCGACACTGCCCTCTGAGTTTCATTATGAACCATATTAATAAAGATATTCACATCATGTAAAATATAGGGCTTCAGATGACTAACACAAAGACCTAATGTGGAAATTTTATATTATTTTTTTCTCATTCTGAAAAATGGGATATGCTCAAAGCCTCAACAKCTTCTAAAGTATGTATGTTGTGTGTGAGAATTGGAGCCAGATATTTGAGCATTTTTGGACATGCCTTGACAAAGTGGACAGAGTTGTTGAAACARTTTTGTTTTGTTTTCACTGAGGGATTTATCAACTTAAAGAATTAAAATTTGAGACAGGTAAATACTTAGCTTGTGTAGGCATCCTCAAAAATAAAAATTATAAAAATGTAAAAAAAATGTGTTGTTAAAGCAAATTAGATGCTCACTATTTTTTTTTTTTGATAATTTTAGGATCTCTGATTGTTATAAAATTTTAGGGACTATTGTAACTTTTAAATGTCTGTAGATTTTTCCGATAAATGATGCCCTTCAGACACTCCGAATTCAAAAGAAGAAAGTACACACAATACACAAACACCTGTGAAAGAAAGGGAGTCTACAGCTTCCCAATTGAGTCTGTGAGTTAAAATGGCCTGCAGGTCTTTCTGTCCCCACTGTGAAGGCTTTGGTCGTCACGTCATGTAGCATCAATCTGCTGTCAAAAGACTGAATGTCTCAGAAAATCATTTGGGAACATGTGTAGGAAGACTGACTGAAATCTGTAAATACCAAATAATAAAGCTGGAAGCATCCTCAGACACATCCGACACACGACAAATGCTCTCTGTGTCTCCGTGTGCCTCTGTAATAGCTGGCTAATTCTCCAGAGCGGTGAGGCAGAGTGCTTGACAACATCATCGACTGTGACAGGCAGATTGTGTTTTCACGTGAGCGTGATCGACAACAGATTGCACTGAGCCCGAGCTGTTCCTGTTTGCCCTGAAAATGTGTTTGTGTTTATTTATTTATTTTTTATCCATTTATTTATTTATTTTGCTTGAGAAAAGTAGTTTTTCCTTCTCTCTTCCTCTCTGTTAACAAACCCCCTGCACAAATTTTCACATGAATCATCCCATGTACATGTCTAAGACAGCATCTGTGTGTGACACATGCCGTAAAGCGACTGCCAGGAGAGGCTTAAGAAACAATCCGAGCAAGATCAATATCTCCAAACCGCACTTATGTGTTTGACTCAACATCCAGTTGCAGCTTCCCCTGTTGCTTTTGTACGCCAAACCTCACAATAAACTGCATTTGCCCAAAGGCCCAAAATGTGTGTATCCACTCACTGAGACATATTGTAACTGTATAATGGTCTTGGCAAAGTGTAAAACAAATTTTAGTTCCTTTCCCCAAGAATTTGATGTGACTGTCAAAACACACATTAATACACWTGCATACTTTGCAGAATGTTGAAGGGTTAGTTCAAATCTTTTGACATGGGGTTGTATAGAAAGGTTATAAACAATTAGTGTTTCCATGAACCGCTATAAAACCTTCAAAATTAGAGTTGTTTTTGAAAGGCGCCAATCCACTTTAGTCTTGGCCGTACTCACATTAGCATTAAGACCATCAATCTGGTCAGATTTAAACTCTAATTCTCTTTACCAGAACCAAACAAAGGATTGCATACATTAGGGAAGTTATTATTTTTAATGACTTTTCCACATAACTCAAACWAGCTCAAAACATTTGAATTATTCCTTCAACTTCTGATTAACATCTTTTTTTAGAGTGTGGAAGGGCATAAATGATAGCATACATGTATTTGTATCATATATGTCATGTATCATATTCCATGTATCACAACATATGACTGTCATAACCAATCATATTTAATAGTATATATTATATAACATTTATCACATCCATTCATTGTCTTTAGTCAYTTTTCCTTGGTATCTGTCTCTCACTGTGCAAGATCTGGGGTACACACAGAGGCCAATGAGATAAACAACCATAGAGTCTCACTCAAGGTTTTTTTTTTATTTATTTTTTTTATTTTTTTGGTTGTGGGAGGAAACCCAAGAAGAAAACTTACATGAGCACAAAGAGGACGTGCAAAGCAAAGGTTCCCAGGCGTGGAGGCGATCCCGTGCTCCTCTCACTCTACTGTACTCCACTGCCCCATCTCATCATATTATACATGATATATCACTTCATATTAGTATATCATGTAAAATCTGCAACATTCTCATTTTATTTGTGTACCAAACAGAAARTGATCAAAACTAAATGGCACAATGTGATTTACTTTGAAGCGCACTGAACAAGCTTTGCTTTATTGAGATTTGGTGGTGTACAACAAAATATACAATAAGTCTTCTCCTGTTTTGCATTAAATGCATGAGAAAGGAATTAAGCTGTAAGTATATCCTTTTCATAGTTGTTCATTTTTTTTCTCCCAGTAGACAAGTCAGTATCATTTATGAATATGCATGACCCAACACTTGTCTTGTTTAATGATTTCTCCAAATTCAAATGTATTCAATTCTCAATCTCATATTTATTCATCTGTAGTAATATAGCCATTTCAACACACACATGCATTCAGATTTTACAATAAAGTACAAAAAATAAATGTACCCACTATATTCAGCTGTTGGCAAATACATGCAAACAGTAACTATTTCAGTAGCAAGCTTTTCCATTCTCTCCTCACATATTTATGTCTATATATTTTTTTGTTTTTGTTTTTTCCTAGGTGCCAATGAAAGCCAACCTCAAGCATTGTGAAGACTAGAAGAACCTCTCCAATGAGCTCCTGGCAGACTGCATAGAGAGCCAGGGCACGTAAGACAGAACACGAAGGAACGCTGAATGTGGTACAGTCACAAAACCACCCATCCACACATACTTGTCAACATGTCACCACACAACAGAGTCGATGCAAATGCATGTTGCACACACTAAGAGGTCTGAAGAAATGGGGGGGG